TCCTGGAACTCACTTTGTAGACCAGGCTGGCCTCGAACTCACAGAGATCCGCCTGCCTCTGCCTCCCAAGTGCTGGGATTAAAGGCGTGCGCCACCAACGTCCGGCTGAACAGCCAGTGTTCTTAACCACTGAGCCATCTCTCCAGCCCTCAGGAAGAGAAGTAGCCCTACTTGGCCCCTTCCAAGGTATCCCAGAGCATGCAACACACACACACACACACACACACACACACACACAGAGCATCTTGGGAAGGCAAGGGAGCAGAGACTGGAAGCAGCCCTTACAGACATGTCAGCACAATCAGCTAACAGCAGGTAAACGTGGAACTGAACTCAGACTTCATCACAGTTTTGGGGACAGAGCCTCTCATTTGCCATCAGGCTTTAAAAGGCACTTGAAACTTGCAGCCAGCGGTTATGTTGTGGGTTGTGAACGGAGGCCACAGCCACCTCTATAGGTAATCCTTGGGTTGGACATGCTGGCACCTGGGCATGGGAGGGAAGACCCTGTTGAGAGCACACCCTAATCAGGGATTTCTGCTTTGGGGGGTGTGGTGGTACAGTATGTGTCTGTGTGGCCCAGGTTGGACTTTACTGTATTGTGATAGTCTTTAAGAATGCGATACATGCACACATGTATTCTGATCATAACCACCCTCCATCCCCCATTTCCAACTCCTCGCCAGGCTTCCCTTCCATGCCCTTTCATGCCCTCTTCCTGTTTTTTGTTCTAACCCCAAAAGTTATTGCCACCCATGTGCACGTGGGTGTGCAGCCATCCACTAGAGCAAGGTCAGCCCACTAAGGGACCACATCCCTGAAGACGACTTTCTCCTGAAACATTAGGCAGTAATTCTTGATCCTTCTGCCTCAACCTCCCAGGTGCTGGGATTATGGATATGGGCCATCACATCTGGCTTTCCTGTGGTCTTGTTTTTTTTTTTTAATTGTGTGTGAGCATGCTCATGAATGTAGAAGCCAGAGGTCAACTGTACCACTTTTGTTTGTTTTTGTTTTTGTTTTGAGGCAGGGTCTCTCACTAGCCTGGAGCTGGCCAAGTGGGTGAGGCTGACTGGCTAATAAGCCTCAGGGATCTGCCTGTTTCTACCTCCCCAGCATGCGGAGTACAAGTGTATGTCACTCAACCCTTTTGTTGCTTTGTTTTTGGAGACAGGATCTCACTACATAGTCTTGGCTGGCTTGTAACTAAATAGACCAGGGAGTCTGGTCTTCAAATTACAGAGATCTGCTTCCCTCTGTCTTCCAAGTGCTGGAATTAAAGGCACAAGCTACTATAGCTAGATATTTTCTAGGAATCGAACTCAGATCCTCCTCACTTAACCTACTATGGGATCTCTTTGACCTGCATGTATTTTTGTACATACATGTGCTTACATTTTTGTGCATATATCTGTGCGTGTGTATGCTTGTGAGTACATTGTGATTTTGTGACTGTGTGCACACATGCATTTGTATGTATACACATGTATGTATGCTGCAGGTGCCATGTGCATATATGTATTCACATGTAGGTTTCTAACTTGCACATGCCTGTGTGTTGCATGTTTTGCATGCACATGGCAGGACAGCCTCTTCAGGAACTCACTTTTGCCCTGGAACCTGTGGGGAGAGCTCCACAGGACCTAATGTGGCAGCACGTTTGAGGGCTACCTAGGCTGTAGCCCCATAGGACCTGACAGTTGTGGGAGTGTTTTGGAGGTAGAGAAAAACAGGTGACCTCAGATCCTGGTGGGGACCACCATGTGGCCTGGGATGCTTCTCACAGGATCAGCAGCAGCAGGCTTGGAGCTGAGGACAAGCTGAATTGGAGTGCTATATGTGCTGAAGGCCCATCGGTAGCCAGAGGTAGATGTTGGGGACAGAACTGAGAACAAGGTAGGGAGGTAAGCAATGAGTCAGAAGAGCTTCAGGTAGGTTAGCCCTGGCTCATCAGCCAGCCCTGTCCAAGGGAAGTAGCAGATACGCCAAGGGAGGGGGCGGATGGCGGCATTGGCGTGGAGCAGCCTTTCTCACGTATTATGTCAGTGGTGCCCCCTCCCAGCCCACGCCACAGCCTCCCTGCTTTCATCTCTTAGAAGCCGGGCCTGGGAAGAGAGAGGCTGAGAGGAAGAAAGCCCCAGGCTGGGTCCCATGAATGGCCCCCCAGGAGCCCTGGCACACACTGGACTGTTCTTTGAATCTTGGCTGTTCTGGGCTTAATTAACGAGTAGCTAAGGGGCACCCCTTTCTCCTTATTCAGAGAGAGGCCCAGCACCATGGAAACCTCTTCCAGGCTCCTCAGGCAGGCACAGTCTAATGGGGCTGCCCCTCTAGCTGTAACTGGGTCCAGTTTGAGGGAGCCCATGGGAAGACATGCTAGCCAAAGACCATTAGTGGGTGACTGTGCAGACAGGCCAGCCTGTTTCCATCCTTATCATTCGTATTCAGAACCTGACAGAGTTGCCAAAAGGAACAAGGGATTTGAATTCTTCCTGTGTTTCCTGAGGACTTGGAGGGATGGTGTATTTAAAATAGACCGGGTCAGGCATGGAGTTGAGTCTCGCCAGGCTTTAAGGCATGCATGAAGGGCTGAAGAGATGGCTTAGCAGTTAGGAGCACTGGCTGCTCTTCCGGAGGACCCTGGTTCAATTCCCAGCACTCCTCACATGGCAGGTCACAACAGTCTTTGACTCCAGTTTCAGTAGATCTGACACTCTCACAGACATGCATGTCAAATAAACACACACACACACACACACACACACACACACACACACACACACACACACACACGAACGCACCATAATATCAGAGGGCGACCTGTGGAATCTGACTCTCCACCGTGTGGGTCCTGAAGATTGAACTCAGGTTGTTAGACTTGGCATCAAGTGCCTTTATCTACTAAGTCATCTTGCTGGCCCTAAATTGCATTTTTTAAAAAGCTGGGTGTGGTGGTTCATGCCTTTAATCTCATGCCAGCCAGAGCTACATAGTGAAGCCCTGTTTAAAGAGGGAGAAAAACATTAAGACCAAAAGTCCAGAGATCCACTCCTGCTCTGAGCCATTTTGAGTTTCATTTCTCAGCTTCTAGATGCAATTTCTCTCATTTTAATAGGGGCTTGCCCAGCTGTGGACTGCACCAGAAAGGTTAGTCAGTTAGTGGGGGGCTGCTGTCTACAGGGCCTGTAAACCCGGGGAGGTGAGAGCTTGGAGAAAGGGCCAGACTGGGTCCACACCAGCTGTTTGCTGAGTATCTCTGGTCCTGAGCATGTGAGCCATGTGGGAGCTTTCCCCTCCAAGGAGGAATTTGCAATTAGTTTGACCGGGATATAATGGAATTTTTATTTAGATCTCAAAGGTTAGGGTGCTTCCCCGGGAAGGTATTTATAGCTTGAAAGGAATCTACTCTGCTGTTATCTCGTTCTTTTTCTAATGATTGGTCTCTTCACAAAGAGGGTTCTGGGTCTGCGAGACTGAAGGCAGTTCTCACTCCCCTCTTCGGGAGACAAAAATAGACACTTATCAGACAATACAGCCAGCACCTGCAGTCAGGGTCAGTCAGTCACAGTCCTTCCTTGGTGCCCAAGTAGGCTCACAAAAAGCTCCCAATGTACTATGGGACTTCCTAAAACACAAGGCAAGGGGCCTTGGCAATTTCTGCTCAGCCATTAGGTTTAGAGGGACTGTGGTCTTGGTGGCTTCTGACCAAGCCCTCTTTCAATGCTGCGTGCCCGTGTGAGAACACTGCAGCAAGAATGGACTGATGGGGCTGGTGGTGTGACTCAGTGGTAGAGCACTTGCCTAGTTCCCACTAGGGCCTGGGGTCCACCCCTAGTGCCACCGTAGTCTGCTTCTGCTTACTACAGGCTTGCTCCCCCCATCCACATGCAGCTCACTGTTACCTGTTTTTGCTAGTTTTGGGAAGTCTGGCTTGTACCAGCCTCCTCTTGGCGCTTCCTTCTCAGCTGCATCTGGAGGGCGGAGGTGAACCAAGGGCAACAGAGGGCCATAGTGTTCCCTGGATCTTGCTTTTTCACTGAGATGGCACCTTCAGGATGGTGACCCCAGTCTGTTCCTGGCTACTGAACTGGAGGCATCCTCTTCCCCAAGACATGGGTAAGAGGTACACCATCTCACAGGGTCCCCCACAAGCGCTGTGTCCCAAGCCCAGTGCACTCTCCAGAGCCACCCAAGACCTCTAGCCAGCACCTCCTTGGTGTGAACGGCACCTTCACCTTACAGCTCTCCACTTAGGTCAACTGCAGCAGGGCAGGTCAGCAGGTTGCTTGCCGCCCAGGAGGTGGAGTCATGTTCCAACTTTTCCCGTCAAGAGTGCTCATGAAAGCATGCGTTCTTCCGAAGCTGGACGACCTACCAGCCTACAGCTGCTTTTTAAGCTCAAGGTGATGTGGAGGTGTTGCCATGGAAATAAGGGCAGTGCCATCACTTACCCATCGCAAGTGCACATACCTGGGCCAGCGTGGTCCTGAGTGCTGAGGTCTCAGGTCCTCTCCCAGCGATGGATTCTGCTGTTTCTCACTGGCCCACTTACAGTCCGCAGACCACAACTGGCTGAGTCCTGGACCAATCACACTCAGCAGGGTTGGCCCAGCCCACAGCCTCTGGCTCCTTTCACCATAGCTCATCCTATCACAGCCCCTGGTGATTGGCTTACAGCTCACCTTGCCCACAGTTTCTGTAGTTTTGGCTTTGCCAATGGCCCTACAAGGCCTACAGGTACTGGGGGAAGGAGTCTGTCTTAAAGATCAGGTGAAGTTCAAAGCTGTATTGACTGGCCTGACTCCCAGTCCCTACATTGGCTCCTGAAGAAGCCAGCAGGAGCTCTGTGTACTGTCCCTAGGTCCTAGATGGGTTACCCCCAACCCAGGTACTCTGTCTCAGATCAGTCTGGGCAGTCTGATGTAGCAATGGGGCTGGGTGGGGAGCACAGGACACCAGACAGCAAAGACAGAGGCTTGAGGCACCGTCATTCACTGAGGTAGTGTCAAGACAGGTTTACCTTTAATAGATTAGCGGCTGCACCAAAGATCAGGGGGTGTATAGCTCTCCTGTTTTCAGGGGCTTGTTCTCAGAAAACTCAAGTGCAGGGGCTGATCTTGACCTCACTGTCCGCTGGCCAGGCTGGGTGTCTAAGGTCAGCCTTAGACATATAGACCCTGCCCCTTTTCCTGAGATGGGGGCAGCCAAAATGAACGTTCCCACCCTGCATCCCCCACCAACATAGAACTCCTGACTGTTTGTTCACTCTCAACAGTCAATGCACCAATGGCTAGTGTTAAATAAGAGGAAACAGAGTAGCCATATAAGGACCCCTGGCACTTGAGGGCCACCCATAGACACCTACTTGTGCCTTTGTGGGTGGGTCTGAAGCTTCAAGTGGTGGTATCAATTACAGGAACACACACAAGTTGTGGTAGGGAAGCAGATACATCTAGAGGGTTCCAGTCGGCTGCCATTTGGTAAAATTACCATCAGTTCAAGGGGAAGAAAACTAACTTGGCAGTCAGCCCAAAGACCAAGTGCATAAAAAACTGAGCTAGTAGGGACCTAGCCGAGTTGCTTTTTGCCTCCTGGTGGAGAAAAGGGCTAGACAGCTGTGCCTGGTCCCATCCCAGTATTAGGGGCACTTACTGGGTAGGTAGACAACGTTGGGCTCCCTCTTCCTGGCCTCTGGCTGTCAAGCCTAGCTCCCATCCTGAGGTTCTCATGCCCATCCTGAGGTTCTCATGTCCAGGCTGCTGTGTGCAGCATCAGGCAGGTGTTTTGTGGAGGATGGCCAGGATTAAATGGTCCCTAAGAGCAAATCTCTTGGTGTCCTTACTAGTCCAGTCTAAGGAGGAACCTTGTAGCATTAGGTTTTTTCCTAAGACAAAAGCCAGTCCCATGGGGTCTGGAAGTCCCATCCCCAATGATCTATGGATACTGCAGGCAGCCAGTCCCACAGGCACTCTAGCAGGGAAACTTGGGCAGCAGACCTGGAGTACATGGAGCCTGGATACCTCTAAAACCCTGTCTAACTCCAAAGCTCCTCATTCTCACCCACTGACAGTGGCTAAGTTCACAAACAAGGGACCAATATCTCAAGCTACTGGCTACTGTGTGGTCCAGGTGGCACTGGTGGCCTGCAGATGCCTCTGCATACCCAGGTGACAGGGCTGTCCCTAGGTCTACATTGGAATTTGTTCTTCCCTGAGACTTATCTCCTCTGGGATGGTGGGCTGCCTCCTGGCCTTGCTCTCTGCCTTGTCTCTGGGTGACCTGTGTATCTGTCATCTTGTTGCCTCTCAATAGCTGCTATGCCACTCAGTGTGCCACTGCCTGGTGCTTTTCCAAGAGTTCATTCTCCCAGGAGGGGATGGAAGGGATGGGAGAATACAGAAAGGGGAACAAGGAGCTCATGGGACAGGGGCTTGGTTGGGGACCCTGATGTCCATAGCTTCTTGTTGACTTTGAGATGACTGCATTCTGCTATGGGAACAGGAGACTTAGTTGTGTGATCTGTAAGGCACTAGGCAGCACAGGACGAGGAAGGCTGTATCTCAACGGCAGCTGACAATGCCAGGGTCAAGGGCAGGTGGTAGACATTGCAAGAGTTCTTGCCTTTGCAGGTCTCCTTGCTGCCCTGACTTAAGAGTGCACATATCTGTGGGCACTGGAAACACATGGGCTGCAACCAGAGAAGGAAGTGGGAGGCGGCTGCCCACCCTTCCCAGAGAGCAGTATAGAGCCACCAGGCACAGGCACAACACATAAGAAAACTGATGGCTGAGGTGTTCCTGAGGCAGGGCTCTTTCCCTAGCAAGATAGGTCATCTTCTAAAATTCAGTTAGCGAGTCCTCTAACCTGTCCCCACAGCCACCTCACCCGGAGGCAATGACTGGGGTCCTAGAATGGGGAGGGGCTTTTCTTCCTGGGCAGAAATGGCGAAAAGATAATGTCATCCGAGTCATCGGAGCAGACATCCTCCACAGGGGGTGGTGACATGTGCTGCAGTCCTGGGGAAGAGGACGCCACTGAAATGAATCGGAGAGAGGGGTCAGCCACAAGGAGTCAGCCACAGGGTGTAGACAGCTGTGAGCTATACGCATGGCCATCAGCTTTTCCTGGTAAAAGACTGACGCCCCACCCGCACAGGCGAGGGCCCACCTTCAGACCTGCATACACTACAGAGCCTCTCACTAGTTCCTATTCTTGTGTTAGTTTGGCAGCTGCTGACAGTAAAACACTTGCAGGCCTGGGGTGGTGGTGCACACCTGTATTCCCGGCACTCGGGAAGCTGATGGAGGAGGAGGAGGAGGAGGGTCACAAATTTGAGGCTAGACTGGGCTATACAGTGAGTTTGAGGTCAGCCTGAACTACACACCAAGAGTGGCTCAGAAAACAAAAACACACAAAGGGAATCAGAACTTAGTAGCTACTGTGTATAAGTGAGTCCTGGCTGTAGTAGCCCCCTCAGTTGCCTGTCCTGTCTGGTGAGAAGCTGGGATGAGGCAGAAGGGGTGGCGGGGACAGGGGACGTACCCAGGGATGGCTGAGTACTTGCGGCACTGCTGCTCCTTTCCTCACATACATCCAAGCATATGACATCCTTGACACTGGACAGAGGCACAGCCTCTAGACCAGAAGGGGGTGGACAGTCCCAGTGGCCACCCTGGGGGGAGTTGGGGGCTGAGGGTTGAGAGGGGGCAGGTTCAATTGCAGCGGTCTCTCTCAGCTCCTCCTTGGGACAGAGCCCCACTCTTATTGCTCCTAAAGATGAGGGGGAAACAGAAAGGTTACTGATTTGAATTTAAAAAGAAAAGATTCTGACCCCACCATGAAACACTATATGGCTGTCTGCTCTACTTTATAGCTCCACCACAGTTCATATAAACTGCAACCTCAGGAGACTTAATGCCCTTCCCAACCTTGTTTTCTTTAATTGCATCTCATAATCTTGGTGTATGTAGACACTTGTGTACCATGGTGCAGAATTGGAGGTCCAAGGACAGCCTCAGGTGGGCGGCCTCAGCTTCCACCCTGTCTGAGGCAGGGTCTTTCTGTGGTTTGATGCTGTATTGCCCCCTCCACCTCATCTCTTCACTTGAGTTCTGGGATTGCAGGTGCACATAACTGTGCCTGGCTTTAAACGGGTGCTGAGGATCTGAACTCAGGACCTCATGCTGCGCACAAGAGCTCCATCCACTGACACACTTCCCTGGACCATTTTCCCCCCCCTAGCTGTTTTTGTTTTTGAGACAGGGTCTTGCCAGGTACTTCTGGCTAGCCTTAACCTATGATCCTCCTGCCTCAGCCTCTAGATTCCTGGGATTTTAGCCTGTGGGGCACTAGGTTTTATTTTTGTTTTCCTTTTCTTCCTCCTTCCTTCTTCTCTCCCCTCTTTTTAAAAAATGTTATTTTAAGTGTATAGGTGTTTTGCCTGCATGTACACCTGTCTATAGAAATCAGCAGGGGACTTGGATTCCCTGGAACTGGAGTTGTGAACCACCAAGTGGATGCTGAGAACTGAACCCAGGCCCTCAGAAGGAGCAGCCAGTGCTCTTAACCAGTAAGTCATCTTTCCAAGCCCAGTCCTTCCTTTTATGAGACAGCTCATGTAATTCAGGCTAGCCTCAAAGTCATTATGTGGCTGGAACAGTTCATCCTCTTGCCTTTGCTGGGACTGAAGGCAGGCTCCTCTACATTCATTTTTCTTTAAAAGCACAGACAAGGCCTGGGTGTGATGTCTGTAATCCCAGCATGTGGGAGGCAGAGGCAGGAAGACTGCCAGGTAAAGTCCACCCTGGGCTATGGAGTGAGAGCCTGTCTCAATAACCAACCAACCGATGACCACCCCAACCCAATCAGCTAAGACAAGGGTGTCACTGACTTTTCTCACATGGACGCATGTCCCAGAGGTCAGCACCTGTTGAACAGTGGATGCTGCCGGTCAGTCTACACAGGTGGACAAATCTGACACTTTAAAATTACATTTGACAAGAGGATGAAAGGGCAGCATAAACAAACTTTTCAGCCTTGACCAAATAATTTAAAGGCCAGCAGACATGGACCTGGTGAGATCGGCACAGACAGCTTTTTGGAGAAGTCTAAAGCCTCTGGGGGCCTTGTGTTAGTTTGGCAGCTGCTGACAGTAAAACACTTGCAGGCCTGGGGTGGTGGTGCACACCTGTATTCCCGGCACTCGGGATTGCAGGCTGGCAGTGGCTTTGAGGTTCCGGTGTCTGTCTGTGTGCCTTCTCTGAAATCCCAGGGCTTCTGTCTTGGCTCACTGTGCTTTGCAGGCAAGGGTTTGGAGAGAACAGAAAAGCTCATAGATTTGTAGCTCTGACACAGCTTGGAAAGTTGATAGCTGAAGTGTATGTCAGGCTTTCAAATGTGATAACATGTTAAACATGGTGTGGTAGGGGGTTCTCCTGAACAGGCTCCTTATGGGGCTCCTGGGAACTGAGGGGGAGTCACTGATACAGTCAGAACCAGATAAAAGGTTGGGAATATGGCTCAGATGTACAGTACATGTCTATCACCCAACCAACTCCATCCCACGAAGGGCTCAGAATGTGTAATTGGTAGAGTACCCTTTACTGTGTGCCTGGGGTGTGGTTCAGTGGTAGAGTCCCTACCTAGAATTCCCCAGTGAGGGGCTAGGAATGTGGCTCGGCAGATCACTTCTCTAGCATGTGCAAAGCCCTGGGTTCCATCTCAAGCACCTCAAGGAAAACAAACAGTAGGGAAAGCTGCTTGAGAAAGCAGGGCAGCCATGGTCTCTGGGTGAGGTTGGAGTGAGAGTCATGGCCTTGTCTTCATTGTGTGCCTCTTCTGCTATCAGAGTTGGGTGACTGCTGGGGAAAGTGCTCCCCTGGCCACCACTGTCACACGTTTACTTGAATAGGGCTGCAGGGCTGCCGACTCTTCTGCCTCATCGTCAGCAGCCTCCCCACAGCTCTCCTCGCTGACTTTCTCTGAAGGACTCACTCTGGATAAGGCATGTCAGTCCTGGGCAGGACTAGTCAGCCTACCTACTGTCTCAGCAGCCACCCACCCTCCTGTGCCTGGCACCTCTCTGACCTTGTCAGCCTTCCTTAGTTCTGCCTGACACCCAGCGACTCAGATGTCTCTGGGAAGCACCAGGTGACTCAGCTCCCTGGGGTGTCACACGCATGCACAGAACCTCAGCTCAACTTCTGTATCTAACATGATCCAAGTCCCTAGCAGTGTCCTTACTCATCCTCATTAATGCCAGTCACAGTGAGCCAGTACTGTAGCTACGGCAGGAGTTGCAGGCACAGCCACAGAACACAGAACCCATGGGCTAGTGGATTGTTGGGCCATCTAGCCCAGCTCTCCACTCATGAGGAGAGCTGCCCAACAGTCAGGGGCCTACAGGGACTACATGTCAGTGTGGGCCAGACATCATAGCCGGAGACAGAACTTGCCTGTGTCCTGAACTTGATTTTTATGTGGCGTGTGTGCGAGTACCTGTTCATGTGTAGGTAGAAGCCAGAGTTAATCTTAGTATCATTTTTCAGGTGCTGTTAATTTTGCCTTTTATATTTGAGACAGGGTCTCTCACTGGTCAGGAACTTGATGATCTGACTAAGCTGGCTGGCCAGTGAGCCCCAGGGACCTTCCAGTCTCTACCTCTCCAGCACTGACATAACAAACAGGCATCACCATGCCCAGGGGATTTTCAATGTGGGGCCTGGGAATTGAACACAGTTCCTTTACCAACTGAGTGATCTCTTTGAGACAGCCTGGGCCTTCTTTATCCAACACTTGTTGTTTTTTCTTTATTTTTTATTTTTTAATTATTTCATTTTAGAGACAGAGTTTCTCTGTGTAGTCCTGGCTGTCCAGGAACATACTTTGTAGACCTGGCTCACCCCGAACTTACAAAGATCTGCCTCCCGAACTGCTTGGACTAAAGGCATGCGCCACCACTGCCCAGCTTGTTGCTGTCTTCAATGGAACCAGGCCCTCACACATGGTTGAAGTGCTCTACCACTATGCTATGCACTCAACCAGCTTTGGGGCATCAATGGAGCAGAAAAAAACCAATGTAAGCAGTGTTGTCCTAAATCAGCAATCAGGAGAAACCCCTGCCCAAGGAGACCTACAGGCTGAAGGCTGAAGAAACAAAAGCCAGGAAAGTTTTGATTGCATGGCTTGGGGGTACCTGAGGACCCAGGGCCCATGCCACTGCCATCCCTGATGCAGTCTGCCGGCCCGAACCCTAGCTGTAGCCCCAACAGCAGTTCAGGAGGTGGAGTCTCTGGTCTTCTGGCACAGGTATGAACTTAGAGTGAGGCATTGACAGTGGGGACAAGCCCCTTGCATTCTTTTTTGGAGGGGTTTCAAGACAGGGTTTCTCTGTGGCTTTGGAGGCTGTCCGGGAACTAACTCTTGTAGACCAAGCTGATCTCGAACTCACAGAGATCTGCCTGTCTCTGACTCTGGAGTGCTGAGATTAAAGGTTTGTGCTACCATCACCCGGCCCCCTTGCATTCCTGTCCAGCCTTCTTTTGGCTTAACCCTTGGAGTGCCTCCTCCCCCTTGTGGCAGAACCAACTGAATGAAATTACCAGGAGAAGCTGCTAGGGAGGGTGGGGAGGTGGATTCTGAGGGCGTGGTTGAGACAGCTCTCCTCTGAGATGAGGCTTCCATCCCTCTGCAACAGTTGGCACTGGAAGACAGAAAGCTCTGGCTGAGCTAGGGAGAACATAGAAAGACAATCCTGACCTGCCTACCACAGCACACTGATCCATGGGGCAGCAGCTACTTCCACAGGTGAATCACTGTGTAAGTATGTCTAGGGCCTTGACAATATTGGCCCCGAGAGCCTATGCTCTTGGTTCATGTCTTTAAGGCCCTGCTTCCTGGAACTCGATCTGTAGATCAGGCTGGCCTTGAACTCACAGAGATCATCTTGCCTCAGCCTCCTGAATGCTGGCATTACAGGTGTGTACCATTGTGCCCAGCTACATCTTTCTTTAAAATGAGACAGTAGGTGAGCCCAAACCCACAATGCCCACACACTATGGGCCCTGTTCCACCCAGTGTCCACACACCTTCTTGCTTCCGCATTATGGAGGCATGCTCTAGGAAGGTCTTCTCCAGAGGGCAAGAGCCTATAGCCCACCCAATACCCGAGGTGAAGCTAGGATATCCCTAAAGGACTACCACTTGTTATGGTGAACTGCCACACCACAGCTCACATAGCAAGTGTCGTAACAACACATCATTACAAATCCCACTGGAGCCCTGGCTAGTCCCAAAATGGGTGCCCCTGCCCCCCAAAAGTAACGCAGCACAGAGGTGCCTGTGGCCCCACTCACATGAACCTGGCCTGGGCCAGGTATCCCCGGAGGATGGACTGGATGACAGTAATGGCTTCCTCTTGTACTGGACTGTCTTCAGGCGGGGAGATGGGGCTTGGGACACGAGGTGTGGGAGACCTCTGCAGCTAATGACAACAGGAGAGAGACCTGTCTGGGGCTACCCTGCTGTCTCCAAATGCAGCATGCAAGTAGCTGGGGCAGGCGGGATGGGGGCTTTCAAACTACACCCCAACAGTGCTCCTCATCGGTCACTGGGAGGCCTGCTCCTTCCACACTTCAAGGATAAACCAGCCCAGGATGTGTCAAAGGGGCCACTGCTGGACTGTCCATGGCATGGCATGGGTGGAACACCAGGCACATCTGCCCAGTCAGGAAGACTAGAAGGCTGCAAAGGGCTTGAGATTCCCCTGCTAATGAAGTGTAAGGGGCTGAAGAGGGGTGGAGCAGTTGGTGTCCGTCCAGTCAGATGGTTACCTGGCTGGGACTGCTGGGAAGGTCCGGCAGGCTGGGAGACCTGGAGGCCAGGGCTTTGCTTCGTAACAGCCTCGAACGAGCTAGGTGTCCTCTGAAGGCCGCCTGGAGCACAGTTGCTGCCTGGCAGGAAAGAGGGAAGGACTCAGTTTCCAGAAGATGGTGCTGGGTGGAGATTAAAGGAGATTGGAGAAAACTCTTCTCCCTGCTGTGTAACCTCAGGGGCACGTCATAGTGCCTTCCCTTGGCCTCCTCTTAACCCCACCTGCTGGTGCATGCACAGCTGACTGCCACAGCAGACCAATCCTGAACACAGTCGAATCAGCTGCTAAGCCAGTTACACCAGCTGCTAATATTAGTTCAGACTTCACATGTTCTTTTGGCTTTCTGAGTCAGGGTCTTGCTACGCAGCTGTGGAAGACCTCAAACGTGTGCTGGACTTCCTGCTTTGCCTCCTAAGTGCTGAGGTTACATGTGTATGCCGTAATGCCTGCCCTCCAGACTTCACACAATGGTATGTCTTCACAGCAGGCTGGTCTGTTTCATCTACCTTCTTTCACACACATCCTCCAGTTACAAAAGCTCCAGAGAAATCTTTTTCTGCTTTTAAGTGCTGGTGGCTGAACCCAGGGCCTTGTGCATGTTGGATAAATACTCTACCACTGAGCCACATTCCTGGCCCCCTCACTGGGAGAATTCTAGGCTGATGATCTCTACTGGGGATGCAGGTGCGGCTCAGTGGTAGAGCCATGCAGGAAGTCCCAAAAACAAATACTTCACAGACACCAGAAGCTACTACTTCTTCCTGCCAGCTCTCCTGTTGGGACAACCCTACTGTCCTTCCCTATGTATCCCACGGGGACAACTGGGCTGTAGGATGGCAGCCCTAGTCCTCAAAGCACCTCAGTTCTCCCTGCTTTACAGCATGTGTGTTCTGGCAACTGTGGCTGAGCACGTGGGATTGTTCAACTCCAAACTGAAAATGGGAGTGGAGGAATGTGTGTGAGTGAATTTTTAAAATGTGACATCATTCAGGAGTTCATTTTATGCTTCTGTTACTTGTATGCTTTAAACTCTGTTTCTGAGTTTGAATTCATTTCCCAAAAATCAGGACTTAAGGAAACACCTTTAAATACCCCTTGTGAGCTGGAGAGATGGCTCAGTGGTTAAGAACACTGGCTGCTCTTCCAGAAGTCCTGAGTTTAATTCCCAGCAACCACATGGTGGCTCACAACCATCTGTAATGAGATCTGGTGCCTTCTTTTGGCCTGCAGGGATACATGCAGGCAGAGAACTATACCTAAAAAAAATAAGTAAATCTTAACAAAAAAAGAGCATAAAGACCTGAATTTGAATCCCCCACACCTCCATAAAGTCAGGTGCGGTCACATGTGCCAGTCAACCAGCACACGAGAGATATAAGCAGCCTTGGCCAGTCTAGCTCCAGGGGTGAGCCCTGTCTCGAGGGAATGAAGCCGAGAATGGTAGAGCAGCCTTCCTCTGAGCTGCACACATTACTGGCATCCCTTACACGAGTACACACACCATTTCCCCCAACCCCTGCAGTCACCCTGTTCTCTTCCCTACTACTCCTAGGTCACTTTACACCACAGTAAAAAAAGGTGTTTGGAAACTGGTGAAATTGACCCGGCTTACCTCATCCAAAGCTGCTTTTCTTTTCTAAAATAAGGAAATTGAGAAATGAATTAATGTGAGCAGAATGAAGTCTCAACAGAGGTTTCCATTACTTCAAAGAATATTCTCCTTAATATATGTGATGGTTAACCTTCATTGTCAATTGACTGGATTTAGAATCACCATGGAAACACACCTTTGGGTGTGTCTGTTAGAGGCTTTCTAGATTGAGTTAACTGAGTGGGAAAACCCAAGTGTGGGTTGTGCCATGCCATGGGCTGAGGTCCTGAACTGCATGGGAAACAGAATGGAGCTCAGCATGGAGTTAGTCACGTCTCTCTGCTGCCTGACTGTGGACACGATGTGACCAGTTGCCTCACGTTCCTGGTGCCATGACATGACCAACACAAATCCATGAGCCCCAATCTACCCTTCTGTCCTTCAAGTTGCTTCTGGTTGATAGTTTTGATACGGCAACAAGAAAAGTGTCTCGCCATGCAGTGATGAGCCCTGTGATGTTCTTGTTCACCATGCTGTCGGACGTTCACGCCCACTCTAGCCTCTCTTGCTTCTACCCCAGTTTCTACTCCTCTATCTGCGACAGCCAATAAGGGCCAAAGAGGGGGCACAGTAGGCAAGTAGCTGCTAAGACTCTAATGGCAGCTTCTTTGGGTTCTAATGTGAACCTTCTTTGGCCAGAAATCAATGATGTGTTCAATAGGACAACAGCCACGAAGGCCAGAGCAAAGTGGTTCTCATGACCATATTTGGGACAATATGAGAATAATGATTGCAACTAACTTTTAAAATGCTTCAATAAATAAAAGGATCTGAGCCCATATTAACTCGTTTCCCTTGAGGGATAGAGGGAGGTAGGGACCGGCTCCTGTGTTGTTAGAAGAGGATCATCCAACAATTCCTTTCTCTGAAACCAGTATAACCTAGAAAAGGAAGCTTGCATGCCCCATCTCCTCAGGAGCACCTGGGTCCATGCACAATGCTGAGCAATTGGTACTTATGCCAGGGAAACTGACTGATAAAAGATGAAAACAAAGTCCTATGGCCATCCAAGATGGCTGGAGCTAGGTTACTTGACTGTTATTAGTTTGTTTTTGCAGATGGTGTCGTGTGGCTTAGGCTGACCTTGAACTCCTGACCCTCTTTAGTACTAGGACTGCAGGAGTACACCACCTCTCAAGGGGCCAGCACTTATGGCCCCACCTCCTGTGAGCCATTCCATTCTAAGCACCAATGGATGACTGGTGGTGTGTGTGTGTGGGGGGGTGAATGTGCAGAATGGATGTGCAAAACACACTGGGTAATGGAGCAAACAAATACCAGATGTTTTCTGCAGCTGGATGTGAACCAGGAAGCTCACCTTGTGTCTGTGGGCCTTCCACTGGGCCTGCAGGGTTCTGACGGCAGCATCCCTCCTCTCTTCGGAGCATAGGGTGGGTGGTTGGGAGACAGCCCCCTGGCCGGTACTGTTGTGGGAACTGGGCTCACCGTCAGAGTCTGGCTTAGAGTGACCACTGCAGGGTGATGATGCGTGGAGCTCTGGGTGGGCCTGCAGGAAATGAAAGGGGGTCAGCACCATCAGTGATGTCAGCAGCGGACAGGATATTAACCAGGATATTACAGGCCTTGCTCGTCCGACAGTAGACTTAATAAAACAAAGTCTGAGCCCGGTGCAGTGGCAGTCTTATTATAGGTTCTTTTTAAAGATTGATGTGGTATGATAAAAGTGGGATTTGGGAGATTGAAGTGGAGATATTTCCAGTGTGGTTTTGGCAGGAAGAACTGAACCATTGAAATGCTGCTGGCTTCTAGGTAGTGCTCTTCTCAATAAGGCAGGTTCTGTCAAAAGGCAGGTTCAAGGTTGGTGAGACGGCACAGTCAGAAGGATGCTTGCTGCACAAGCACAAGGCCTGCTGCTTGGCATCCATGTAAAAAGCTGGGTGTGGTGGCGTGTGCTTGTAATAGCACTGGAGAGGCAGAGACAGGCAGATCCCTGGGGCTGGGAGACATTCCCCAAGTCCCTGAGGCTGGCCTTGAACTCTGCATCCTACTGTCTCTGCGTTGTGAGTGTTGGGATCATAGGCCTTCGCCGCCTTATATGGCCCATGAAGGTTTATTATGCATTCGTATCAGGCCCTCCTGGAGCAAAGAGCGGCATAGAAGTTTAGCCTCCAAGGTACTAGTTTGCACCTGTGCTTTTGTCAGGTGTGACACACGAGACAGATTAGAAATGGGGTACATTCTAATTGTTGGAAATGAAAGTGTCAACAGCCTGGAGAACAGAGACCAGTGGCCTCTTTCTGGCCTTTGGAGTTGGAGAATACCCAGTTGACCTTCACAACAACAAAGCTTCCCCTGAGTGATAGCAAGTCCTGAGACTTCCACTAAAAAAGAGGAAGAGAGACCTGATATCACAGGCCTGTAATCCAAGCATTCAAGATGAGGCGGGAGAATTGTAAATTCAAGGCCTGCCTAGGTAACTTGGTGAGTCCCTGTCTTAAAATAAAACATTGTAAGGCTAAGAATACATTTTGGTGGTAAAGCACCTGCCTAGAATCCCCCAGTGAGGGGCTGGGGTGAGGTTCAGTGGTAGAGCACCTGCCTAGAATTCCCCAGTGAGGGGCTGGGGTGAGGCTCAGTGGTAGAGTGCCTGCTGCATAATATTTGTTTAACTATGCAAAGATGTGTTGCATTTATGTTGCAGAATAGCTGTTTAACTATGTAAAAATGTGTTAGATTTATTTAATTATGTAAAGATATATTGCTGTTTTACCTTACCTGCCTAAGATATCCAATGAAATAATAAAAAGCTGAATGGACAATAGTGGAGGAGGTATAGATGGGACTTCTGGATAGGTGGAATAAGTAGGAGGATTTTGGATTGGGGGAAGAAAGAAAAAGAGACTCTATGATGTCAGGGGTCAGACAGTCAGACACGGAGGAAGCAGGAAAATGGGACACACAGAATGAAAGAAAGGTAAAAAAGTCCCAAGGCAAAATGTAGATGAATGGAAACAGGTTAAATTAAGTTAAAAGAGCTAGTGGGACAAAGCCTAAGCTAAGGATGAACAGTCATAATTAATAAGTCTCTGTGTTATGATTTGGGGACTGGCAGTCCAAGAAAGCCTGTTATATTTGGTACCCAACATGGGCCTGAATTTCCATATAATGCCTGAGAAAGCTGGGAAAAAATCAACAACACACACACACAACCCCCTGACACATCTTTCTAGTAGCCTGGTGCTCTCAGCATGCAGAGGCAGGGGTGCAGCCCTGCCATCAGCAAACACTTGGTCAGCTGGCATGTTAATTAGAAACAACAAGCTAAGTAAAAATGCCTGCCACAGTGTGGGCACCAACTTCCAGAGCTGTGGAAGTTAAATGCAGTTCTGGTTAAACACAACTCTCAGCCAGGCCAGCAGGGCTGAAAGCTCAGCTCTCAAGGACCTGAGCAGGGCAAAGCCAGCCACCAGTGCAAACCCACAGGAGAATGCTACAGGTGCACAATAAACTAGATCCAGACCGGAAAAAACCTCTAGTCAGGTTATAGTGCATTTAAAAAAATGTGTGTAGGTGCTAAGAAAGAACAGAAAATATGTACAGTCATAGGAAAAAGTAAGTTTAAAAATAATTAAGTCTTTAAAGAGAGAGTAAATTAGGGGGGAGGGCATGGGAGGAGGGGAGGGAAAGGAAGAGGAACCTGGAACTGACTTGTGAAGCAACCTTGTTTCTTATCTAAATTTAAACTGAAAAATAAATTAAAAAAATAAATAAATAAAAAAGAGAGAGTAAATTAATATAAAGAGGAAAAGTCACATAAAGATGGGAAATACACAGGGAGTCTGGATCCTATATGATGCTATGTTGACTTTGAAGTTTTTGACGGCTATGAGTGAATGACTGCTGATACTGGATTGTAAAAGGGACTGCTGAATTAAACCAGCCTAGATACTTTAGAGATGCTTTAACTTGAAAATGGAATTCAGAAAATGTATTGAATTCGGGGAAAGGTTCTGCTTTTGTTTCCACAGGAAATGAAAAGTGTGGATTCGTTCAATGTTAACAGAGATCAGGTTTGATGAAGGAGACCTCCTGGATATCTTGGCTATAGACATATAGAAATAAACCAAGAAAAACTACAAGACAGGTGACATATATACTGATCCCTCTGCATGGGAGCAGTTTTGAGACTGGACAACAAATGTTACAACCAGTTTTCTCAGGGCTTTACCATTATTTCATGTTTCTCAGGGTCCCCAGGAATGCCATTATCCCCAGACAACAGGAAGCAGTCTAGAGAACACAACATCCACATTTCCAAGAAGTAGTGTGAGTGGTTTTTGGTCATTTGGTGGATTCTGGATGTTTGTCATTTAGGGGGTATAGGAACATAGGATAAAAAGACAACTATTAACCTCAGGTATTTCACATTGGTGTGGATTTTGGTATATTGATACAAATTGACAGTTATTTTTGTTATACTATATGTATGTTTCTACACTTGTTTGGGGTTATTATGCTTCTGCAACTTATTTTAAAATGTAATATATAATTAAGAAATGCAGGTTAGTAGTTAGCATCTATAACAATCAAACTTGTATTCATGTTAGGTATGCTTTCAAGGTTAAACAGATATCTTTTAGATATAGGTGATCTTCAAATGCTTCAGAGACCTATAGGACATGGCATTTAAGATGTTTAATAACCTAAGGATTTTCATGACAGTGAAACACACCTGCTCCTGGCAGCACCAATCTACTTCATAAAAGGATAATAGGCATCAAAGAGCCTCCATTTGGAGTTCACTTTCATTGTGGCAAGAAACTGCCCTTGCCTCAACTGTGTACAGTATACTGTAAACTGGACAAGCAGGACACAAAGGAAAAAGACTGTTAAACTTTGCCAGAATAAGGTGGGAAAGTCCTTTGAAATTTCTGTTTCACAGAAAGGTCTGTCAGATATTCTAGACCTGTGGGCTCAAGACGGATGCCTCAACATTGCAGAGGAGCCTTGGGTGACTGTCCAGGCAGCCAGCTGCTTCTGTCATTTCTATAGTTTTGGAAATTACTTACTCTGCATTTTCTGTTTATTCAGGTAATATTACATCCTTCTAGGGTCTCTGATGGAGTTAAAGATGAGATAGTTATAGTTTTGTTACCAAATTCAGAAAAGAAACTTACATAAGAGATATAAAGTTTGTAAGATTGAAAAACATAAAAGTTTAAATTATTTGAGAAAATGTTTTGAGGTCTAAAAAGGTTAATTTTTGGGTTGGTAATACAGTTAGGATAGACAATAAATTAGATACACAACTTTGGCCTCACCAAGATAGGACAAATGGAGTATTTTCTCTGAATTTGCCAAACGCAAATGGACTGGATATTATTATTATTATTATTATTATTATTATTGAGACAGGGTTTCTCTGTGTAACTTTGTAGACAAGGCTGGCCTCAAAATCACAAAGATCTGTCTGCTTCTGCCTGCAGAGTGCTGGGACTAAAGGTGTGCACCACCACTGCCCGGCTTGAACTGGATATTATAAATATAATTCTTACTTGATAACTGTTCTTATTGTATATAGTCTTACTATGTTAAAGCTAAAACCTTCCCCTTTAGACAAAAATGGGGAATTGCCTGCCTAGAATTCCCCAGTGAGGGACTGGTGTGTAGCTCAGTGGTAGAGCAGCTGCCTAGAATCCCCCAATGAAGGGCTGGGGTGTGGCTCAGTGGTAGAGCAGCTGCCTAGAATCCCCCAGTGAAGGGCTGGGGTGAGGCTCAGTGGTAGAGAACCTGCCTAGTATATATAAAGCCCTGGGTTCTAATCTGCCCTAAAAAACCAACAAAACAAATATGGAGGTGGGGGAGACAGGGAAGTTGCAGAAAGATACTTGGCCAAGCAGCAGGTTCTGGAACTCACATCTATGCAGGTTAGGAGTGGGTTATTCCTCCTCCCTTCCTTTCTGGTCTTCTTGCCTCTGCAGAGCTGCACCTCTCCTGTCCAACTGCCTAAGACCCAAGGCCAGCCTGAGGCATCTACACACATCAGCCGGGTTACAGAGATCATTAGGGAAGGTGACAGGTGGTGGATCATGGAGAAGTTGTATGTGAAGACAATGTTGACAAGCCCCGCCCATGCCTAAAATTGAGTGAACACTACAGCCATATGGTACCTCCTGGGTGACTGCTACAGTAGAGTCTCTCTCTTGTCTCCTAGCTTCTTCCAGTTCTTGACACTTGTTGGTGAGTGCTTCAATTTCCTCTCTAAAGGACAAAGGGAAAAGATGACCCCTAGTCATCATCTAGTAGGGAAAAGCTATCATAAGTGTATGAGCAGTGCTGCAAGGGGACAGACTACAGGACTGGGCTTCTGGTAACTGATGGCCACCAGCAATGCCGCTGCAGGGGCTTCTAAATTGCCACCTGTGTTCTGAGAGCCTTCAAGGGCAGGGCTGAGGATGCTAGGCCCAACTCCATTCGTGAAATATCATCGGATTTGGAAAATGGGTCTGTGGTAAAGTGCTTGCCTAGCATTCGGGACGTCCTGGGGCCCAACTCCAGTACTACATAAACAGCGAAGCACATGCTTGTGATCTTGGCATTTGGAAGGTGGAGGCAGGCGAGTAAGAAGTTCAAGGTCATATTTGGCTACAATAAGTTCAAAGCCAGAGTTGGGTACATGAAACCCTGTCACACACAAACCCAGGGCATCTGAGTGTGGGGACACACACTTGTGATCTCAGCAAATGTGGTTCTGACAATTGAGTGGCTGAAGCTGCAAAGTTGCAAACTGAGGTCAGTTTGCATTACATAGTGAGATCCTGGGCCAAACAAAATAAAACAAAAACAAAAAGTCAAAACACGATTTAATACTCAGTGTTCTTACCTCAAAGCCCGCTCCTGCTCCTGTCTCTCCTTCTCGCCTTCTCTGGCCAACTCCAGCTCCTTCTCCAAGTCCATCTTGGCCTGCAGCAACTTATTCATCTCCACACTGAGAGACACAAGCAGACATTTCCATGGTCACCAGACCCAAGGCTAGCACAGCTGAAGGATGCTTTATGGACATGTCACCCTGCCTCCTTCCTTAGGCACTGAATCTAGACAAGCTTTTGGTCCTAAGGACAGTGCCAGAGCAGACTGTGCTGCAGACACCACTGTAGAGGGACTATCAGAAAATGGAGTTAACTTGAGAAAAGGCAGACAAGAACCTGCCTTGAGACAGAGACTCAAAATGACAGAGAAGGACAGTTAAGTGACACAGTGCCTTCCTCAGTGCAGAGTCTGAACCCAGGAAGGACCTGCTCTGCTCTGGCTTAGACACAGCTGATAAGCCCTGGAGCAGGTGTTTGTACCAAGATATGGATGACACCATGGCCACGTACTCAGCCCTGATGAGATTCTCTTTGAAACTCAGACCTGCTACTTATTGCTGGTGACCCTGCTTCTCCAGGTCCCTGCTAATCTCCACAATAAATGACCTCCTTGAGTGTGTAGCATGGTGACCGTCACATAGTAAGAGCTTTGAAAGCAGTAACTATCCTGTCACCTCACATGGTGAACTGTAGCTCCCACATGTGTGTTAAAACTAGCTGAGAGGTGGTGGCTCATGCCTTTAACCCCACTGCTCGAGATACAGAGGCAAGCAGACCTCTGTGAGTTCAAAGCCAGCTTGGTCTACAGAGCTAGTTCCAGGACAGCTAGGGCTGTTATACAGAGAAACCCTGGGTCTAAAAACCAAAACTAAAAACAGTAAGAAAACTTTAAAAAGATGTGTTTTACTTTATGTGTATCAATGTTTTGCCTCATGTATGGGCACCACATGCAAGGTCAGAAGAGCGTATCAGAGTCCCTGGAACTGGGGTTATGAACTACAATGTGTGTGCTGGGAATTGAACCTGGGTCCTATGCAAGAGCAACAAGTGTTCTAAGCCATGGAGACATCCCTCTGGTCCCCCTATGATAACTATTTTACAAGGGTAACCAATTAGAACACCTGTGACTGTGCAGAGTTGGAATGGTACAGGTCCAAAGCCAAGTTAGCTGGAATCCCATTAGTCCTACAAGGCCATTGATGCCCACTTGTGTCTAACCTAACACCCACCAGACTTTTCCTTTCAGAAGGTACAAGCAGACCACTGGTTTCCACCAACTCTCAATCAGGCCCTGGACAAACAAGGCACTGTGTGTGTGTGTGTGTGTGTGTGTGTGTGTGTGTGTGTGTGTGTGTGTGTGTGTGTGTGTGTGTGTGTGTATGCATGCTTGGGAGAAAGGGGTGGGGGTGGGCAGGGGCAAGGCCTGCACTCCCAACCAGCATTCAGGTGGGTGGGGCCCAAGGCTTGCACCTGTCCCCAGGACTTCCCAGGTGGGCTGCAGGTAGGTCTTCCCATACTAACTTCTCGGTGGGCAGGGCCTGAGGCCCTTCATCTCCAACAGCTTTCAGGGTAGGCAGGGCTAGTGGCCTTGGTCACAGTTTTATCATAGCAATTTAAAAATAGCTAAGACACCAAGGCTAGCTTTGAACTTGGGATCTTCCTGCCTATACCCCTCCAAGTGCTGAGACTGTAGGCAAGTACTGCCCCACCTGTGAACTGGGTATGTACTCAACTCTTCTGGGAGGGGCACTTCTTCCCTCCAAGCTAGATGCTTACTCTTTCTCCAGCAGCTGGGCCTGCAGTGTGCTCCGCTCCCCTTTCAGGATCTTCAGGGTTCCTCGGAGATGCTCCTGGTCCTCAGGCGAATCCTCTCTGGGCTGGTCCTCTTTGGACTGGTCCTCTTTCGGCTGCTTTTGCACTGAGATGTTGGAAGAGGAGCGGACTAGGGGATTCGGCTTGACCAGCTCTGAAGTAGATGACTTTGGGCTTTCTGCAGAACTCACTTTCTGGAGGCAATGAAGCATCTGTTAGCATTACCTCTGTGAGACAGACTCAGGAGCAGCTAGTCTTCAGTGTGTGAGAGAAGGCTCACTGTGGGGGCTGAGTCAGCAGCTTCCCTTCCCAAAGACAAAACCAAAGTGGAGACAGTTGTCCAAGCCCAGAGACAGGACCCAGTCAGAGCTACCAACACTATACCACCAAGGTCACCAGGAGGGAGGCAGGTAAGGAGGATGCAGACATTGGAATTTGGGTATTTCTACCTTGTGCTTGATGTTAAACTGGTCCAGTTCTGAAAGTGACAGACCTTTCCTATTGGGTCTCTGGATGTACCTGGGTTTTCTGTATTTCCCAGCATGCTTTACTTATAAAGTATTTCCACAAACACAGAAACTTCTTTCATTTTCAACTCTGTCTACTTGTCTACTAATTTGTCAGTATGTGTCTATAATTGAAACATTCTTCTTTGGGCTTTGTACAGCTTTGCCAAACAACTGGGGGACTCTGGTTCATATCGTTTTCTTTCAATACTGGGGATGCAGGCCAAGCAAGTTCTGTACCAAGTGGCACACCTTGTCCTTAAGCAGCAGGTTTTAACAGCAGCAGGTGCTCTATCACTGAATCATGCTCTGTCTTTCACTATGGGGTCTAGGCAGGTGCTCTATCACTGAGTCATGACCTATGCCCCTTACCTAGAGTCTAGGTAGGCACTGTATCACCAAGTTACATCTCTGGCATCCTATCTCAAGATCATAACAGGATGGACAGGTTCCCCAGAATCAGGCTCCTCTGTAGGGCTGCTGTGGGGATGGGGGATAAGGAACTGCTGGCTAGCCTCACATTTGCTGGTCAGCCTCACATTTGCTGGTCAGTAATGTAGATGAAGTGATTGCTAAGAATCAAGTATTATGTAAGTTTAGGATGTGCAGATGTATGCACGCATCAGGCTATTCCACGGACACTTCATGGTCATACACCCATCCACTTGTGGGACGACAGGAAGCCCAGTAATGGGTTCTTGGGCCTGGCCCTCCGTAAAATGAGGGCTGGGAATGACATAACCTCAAGTCTTGCCCAGACCTGCAAGTTCATCTTGCCTGTGTACTTGGTAAGGCCTGCTGAGCACCCCTTCCTGTGTGCTGAGTGACTTATGTTACTCTGCAACTCTGTATCCCCACTGAACCACACAGTGGCTGCTCCTTGGCCCAGGTAGACCCGATGAGACATTAGCCCTGCACTTACCTTTTCCAACTCTGCGATGCGCCTCAGCAGCCGGGGCTTGCTCCAGTCTACGTAACCTGAGGGCAACAGGGTTTATAAGACAGTGCCCATGGGCCCTAAAGCAGGTTCACTCTTCTTAGCTTCCCACTGCATAGACTGACAGCCAAGTCACAGACCCCAGCGGGGCTGGTGCTTGTCACCTGAGAGTTTATCTCACATAAGCCAGGCTGGCTTCTAACTTACTATATAATAATGGAGGAACTTCTGATCTTTTTGCCTCCATCTCCTGTGTACTGAGATACATGCTCTATCATGCCTGGTTTATTTGTTGATGGGGATCGAACTTGGGGCTTCATGCACACTATCCCAACTGAGCTACATCCCCAGCCTGATGATTTTCACTTTTTTAAACTCCCAATGCTAAGCTCGCTCTTCACACCTGAGACTCAAGGCTTGGCTATCACATGGTCACTCTGGCCACTGCTGGCCATGTGTCACTAGCTAGCCTCCATTACCTAACCTTCTAAATGCCTCAGGCTTAAGACTCAGCTCTGCATGACAGGAACCTCCGACCTGAAATGTCAACTCTATCCCCTCCACAGTTCAGACGAAAAGTCCTGGGGCCTATGGCCAAAAGTGCCTCTCAGCAGGAGAGTCCTCCCCTAGTCCGTATTAGACCTGGGTTCCGTCCTCAGTACTGCAAAACAAAGCAACTGCCCTGGAGCCTGTGGATCCCCTAGTCCTCTTGTTTTTTGCAGACCTCACATTCAAGAGCCCGAGAACCACAGGCCCAGGCTACTTGGACTCTCCCTGGATAACGTGTCCTACTGACAAAACCCTTTTGCACAGGTAAGGGAACATGCCTGCTATGATGCTTGTGTCTAAGTTCTCCATGTTTGAATGGGATCCACTACCTATCTTTTCTCCACAGAACAAGACATGACCTGTCTCCTTGTGTTTCCCTCTGTGAGTGGCCTGTCGGAGATACCTTTTATTTTGGAGACAGTGGGGGAATTGCTCAGCATGCGGTCCAGGTCCTCCTTCAGGCTCTGATTCTCCTCTGTCAGTTCCTGAACGCTCCGGGTCAAGTTCAGCAGGGCGCTGCTCATCTTCTTCTGCCTCTTCACACCCAGCTTCTTCTCCACTATGGGCCTGGGGATAAGTAAGCGACAGGCTGAGGGTCGCACTTCTGGACTGACTTACAGACATCTTCTTACCAGGTTCTGAGGCAGACAGGAAACCAACTCTACCCCATTATTGAAATGGTAACTTCAGTGACAGAATCAATTCCACTCTTTTTTGTTTCTTTTCTGTCTGTCTGTCTTTCTTTCTCTTTTTCTTTTTGACTCAGGAATGCCAAGCAAGTACTCTACCAACTGTTAATCCCCACTGCTCTCCATTTTTGAGACCGGGTCTCATTATGTATCCCAGGTTGTCCTGAAACTCAGGATTTGCTTGCCTCCACTTCCTGAGTATTGCCATGATGTGGGTGTGTCAGCAGGCCCACCTCTATTTTCTTTTATTTTTGTAATTTGTGCTGGTGTATAAAATGGGCATGCAGTGCGTTGGAGATGTAGCTCAGCGCTCAGTTGGGGAAATTCTAACCTAGCACAGGGAGGCCCTAGGTTCCTTTCTCAGGACCACCATGTATTTATTTAAATACATACATTCATAAATAAGGCACTAAAATAAATGGTCCTACAACAGGGTGCTGAGCACCCCCTAGTGTTCCAAAGGCTGTAGTGCAGCTCCTTTGGCCTCTGGGTACTAGAAAATCACCATGTATTATATATAGTGAATCAATACTACATATTACATGTCTTTAAAGAGAAATACACACAACACCAATCTCAGCATCTTCCTTAATGAAGATGTAACAAATGAATCCGGGGACCTAAGCCTGAATCCACTGCCCAGGACAAATGGTTCAGTATTTACTAATTTAGAATCCCTGGAATGTCATAGGATATTTACTTTCTGCAAATAACAGAACCTACTCTACTTTGTGTATGTGTATATGTGTGTGTGGTGTATGTACATGTGTGCATGGGTACCGGGGTCAGAGGAGGAAGTCAGGTGTTCTGCTCCATCATTCTCTACCTTAGTCCCTTGAGACAGGGTCTCTTACTGAACTTGGAGCTAGGCTGGCAGCCAGCAAGTCTTACGGATTGGATCTTTCTGCTGTGTAATCCCTTGGCCCCTAGGACCCCCGCCCTGCCGGCCCCTTGTATTATAGGTGCACATGCAATGCAGCCATGCCTGCCTTTGTTTTACACACCAGACTAGTGCTTTAACATGGAGCTACCTCCTCAGCCCTATATATGGCTCTTTAAGAGAGAATGTCTTAGCTGAGCGTTGGTGGCGCACACCTTTAATCCCAGTACTCGGGAGGCGTGAGTTCGAGGCCAGCCTGGTCTACAGAGTGAGTTCCAGGACAGCCTCCAAAACAATACAGAGAAACCCTGTCTCTAAAAACAGAGAGAGAGAGAGAGAGAGAGAGAGAGAGAGAGAGAGAGAGAGAGAGAGAGAGAGAATGTCTTCCAGCTACTGTCTGGAGTGACTGGGGGCAAAGGGGGAAAAAAGACAGCCACAGCTGGTGCTGGCAGTTTATGCAGAAGCCTGTTTTATAGGCAGAGCTTGTTTCAAACAAGTAAGGCGGAGCCTGCTCTGAAAACCAGTGCTCTCCAGTTCTAGGTGGAGCTGCCATGGGGCTGGGTAGAGGTAAAGTACCCACTCTACAACTATGAGGACTGGAGCCCCTGAGTTAAAAGCCAGCTACTGGCAGTGCGTGCCAGCAACCCCAGCACTGGAAGACACAGACAGGAGATACTTGGGTTCCCGATTCCATGAGAGGCTCTGCTTCAGAAAATAGCATGGACAGCTATCAACAGATGAAGACACCTGATGTTGACTGGTGGACTGCACATGTGCACACATGTTCATATACACACGAATATGTACACATGAATGTAACCCCCCACCCCCGCCCCAGTAAGTATTGCACAGCTGCCCAGAAAAGGGAGAGCGAGCCAGTGTCAGGTAAGGGCCGCCCAACTTTGAGAGTGGCCTCAACAGTACAAAGACACACGAGGTCCCCACATGAGATCATACTTCTTTCCTGAGGCGTCAGTACTCGCCAGGAGGGTCTGCAGACGATGGATCTGTGAGATGCAGAGAGAAGGTGTCAGAACACAACAGAGGTGGGGACAGCTTTCCCCAATCTACAGTCAGCTTCCCAATTGTGGCCTTGTGCAGGGAAAGAAAACCATACTGTGGGGATCTCTTCACGCCCACTGAACCTGAGGGCATGCACAGCTGCAGGTTTCAGAGCATGACTCCTCCCTACCCTCATGCTTCGGGTGTACACACCTCTTCGTAGTATGTCTCCATGGCGATGCGCATCTCCTCCAGGTTGGTGGTCTTCATGTCCGTCTGCAGTTTGCTGGAAACCCAAGTTCAGAGTTAGCATGGTGGGACTAGCACCCAGAGGAGAGGCAGAGGAAGAGAGATCCCCAGAAGTCAGAGAGGGGACAACAATGAAAAGCCTTGACCACATGAGTCCATACTTCCGGAACAATCACACCAGACAGGGTCCTCCTGGGTGGCACCAGCTACTCCTCTAATGAGCACACAGATCATCAATAGATGGTCTACTCTAAGAAAGGCCGCCCTGAAACACTATGGTCAGTGGTACCAAAGGACCCTAGGTCCTGGGACACCTTCAGAGCAGAACAGCCTACTTTATAAGAGGAATCAAGAGAGTCAGGTGTAGTGACACATGCATGTCATCCCAGCACTCAGGAGGCTGGTGCAGGAAGACTGAATTCAAGCTCCGTCTGGGTTACAAAGCATGATGCTGTTTCAGAATAAGACAGAAAAACAAAAGCAGATCCTTTGCTCCCTGCCACCATCAACAGAAATTTATGCCACACGCTTCAGAAAGAAGGCACAGGAGAAAGCAGAGCTCAGGGCACAAAACAGGAATCCAGCACACACCCAGACACATGCTGCCAATTCATCAAGAAACACCAGAGGGTCAGAAAGGCTGTAGGAATGGGGACACAGGTGCAGACAAGCTGCCTCAGTTTCCCTGAAACAGACTTAACCACATCTAAATTATCCCTTATACTTAGTGAGGCCAGAGAAGCAGCAAGGAGGACCCAGGGGTGTGAGGGTGGGGGCACAGCACAGTGTCTGCTGAGAGGCCTTGGAATCCAGACCCAGAATGTTCACATTGGACATTTGAGGTGATCTGCATACTGATGGGGGTGGGGGTAGGGGGGTAAAAAGTTAGAGAACTGCTGTTTCCTAAGGAAATTTGGAGGAAATTTGAATTAAACAGAAGCTAAACCTAAAGGCATAGTCTAGTCACACAGGTTCCTCCGGACCCGAAACAGAAGGCTTGAAGGTTCAAGGCCTGTTTGCCTGGTCAGTTCAAGGAGGTCCTGTCTCAAAACTAAAAGTGAAAACATGACTAAGGTGCAGTTCAGTGGTAGAGCACCTGCCTAAAATTCCCCAGTGAGGGCCTGGGGTGTGGCTCAGTGGTAGAGCACCTGCCTAGTGGTAGAGTGCTTGTTTCCCACCATGACATACAGGTGAAGGAGTTAACATTTCTCAGTTTTAGGGTGGAACAGAGGGTGGCAAGAAGGTAGAACAACCCCAAGATGGAAAGGGTGGAGAGGAGAGGTCAGTCTTTCCTGGCCCAGGGCAACACCCAACAGACACTGGGGACCACCCACCACCAGCCCCCTCAGGTCGTACTTGATAGCGTTGTCCTTTTCCTTGCACTGTTGCTCCAGCCTGAAGATTCTTTGCTTGAGCCCGGTGATAACCTGCCAGCAGAGGGCCACCACCTCAGCACAGTTACCCACTGAGGGCTCAACCTGCTGGGTCCCCAGGATAGGTGGTATCCCCTCTAGGAGACCCTACAAGACTCCCAGCTTCTTCCTATCAGAGTTCTTGCACATACGTCCCTCTCTCCTTCCTTCCTTAGCACACTCCCAACCTGCTCCCGAACTGAGCAGGGCTAAGTGACTGGAGAGCAAGATGGAGGGTGGGAGGGCAGCAGCCAACCCTCAAAGCCCCACGGCCACTGTCCTAAGGAACACACTGCCAATTCGAGGAGAGGGCTGGATGTGCAGTCAGCTGCTTAATAACAAAGAAGTCACCAGAACCTGGATGCTGTCCTGTGCCTGGGACCCACGGGACCCAGCAAGTCCTTGCCCAAGGTCAAGGGACTGACTGCTCCATTCCAGCAGGCCTGAGCCTTCCTTCACCTTGGGGAGGTATTTCCTTTATAACCTAAACAACGTTTTCTTTTTAAAGTCAGGGTCTCCCTGTGTGGCCCAGGATGGTGTTTGACTTCAGATCCTCCTGCATCAGCTTCCTGTGGGGTGAATTACAACCTTGGGATACCATGACTGGATTACAATTGCTACTTTGAATCAACTTCAAACTTACACACACACACACACACACACACACACACACACACACACACACACACACGCGGCATTGGAACAATAAAAATACAGAGCTTGGCTTGGAGAGAAGGCTCAGTGGTTAATTAAAAGCACTGGCTGCTCTTCCAGGGGATCCAGGTTCAATTCCCAGCAATCACTTGGTGGCTCATAATCATCTGAAACTCTGATTCCAGGGAACATGATGTCATCCCCTCCTTCTGACCTTGGAGAGTACTGGACATGCATGTGGACAAAGACATACATGCATACAAAACACCCACACACATAAAATTAAAAATTAGGGCTGAAGAGATGGCTCAGAGGTTAAGAGCACTGGCTACTCTTCCCTAGGTTCTGAGTTCAATTCCCAGCACCCACATGATGGCTCACAACCATATGCAATGAGATCTGGTGCCCTCTTTTGGCCTGAAAGCATATACACAGGCAGAATACTGTATACATAATAAATAAATTTAAAAAAATTAAAAATTGGCAGGATTTTCTCTATAGAAATACATGTTTATTCATTAATGAATTCTACATCTTCTTCTGATGTCCTAAGTAGATATCTCAATTAATAGTACACTATTAGACATACACTTTCTTTTTTCCTTTTTGAGACATGGTTTCATGTAGCACAGACTGGCTTTAAAATCCTTCTTTACTCCAAGATGACCTTGAATTTTTGATCCTCCTGCCGTGGCACCTCCTGAATGCTGGGGTTACAGGTCTACAACACTATGCTTGAATTTTAACATTCTTTAAAAAGCTTAACCCTGGAGCCTGGCAAGATGGATCAGTGGGTAAAGATGCTTCCCACCAAGTCTGATGACCTAAGTTGTATCCCTGGAATCCACATGGTGGAAGAAGAGAACTGACTCCCACAAACTGTCCACTTAGCTCCACATGGTTTTTTGTTTTGTTTTTGTTTTTCGAGACAGGGTTTCTTTGTGTAACAGCCTTGGCTGTCCTGGAATTCACTCTGTAGACCAGGCTGGGCTTGAACTCATATAGATCTTCCTGCTTCTGCCTCCCAAAAGCTGGGATTAAAGGCGTGCGCCACTGCCGCCCGGCTCAGCTAGAATATCTTTAGTAACTACAGACATTCTGTATACTCCTGACAGAGAACATTGCTGTAACCTAACTCCCCTTTTTGTGGCATTCTTTCAGTTCCCCTTTTAGTCTTGAGGCTTTCCTGGACATTTCTTCATGACATCATGCCCATTAACCCATTGTTGTCTTACTCCTTGAACCTTGACTCATGGGGACAATGACATATTTCATACCACACCCCAATCCCCACCTTGTTTTAAAACAGAAACTCTGGGGCTGGAGAGATGGTTCAGAGGTTAAGAGCACTGGCTGCTCTTCCAGAGGCTCTGAGTTCAATTCCCAGCAACCACATGGTGGCTCACAACCATCTGCAATGAGATCTGGTGCTCTCCTCTGGCCTGCAGGGATACATGAAGTGCTGTATACATAATAAATAAAATCTTTAAAAAAACAAAACAAAACAAAAAAAAAACCAGAAACTGTGGTTTGAATGTAATTCCCAAGTTGTACACTGAGACACTTTTTTGTTGTTGTGATGGTGGTTGTTTGTTTTGTTTTTTTGTTTGCATTCTGTGACAGGGTCTCATGTAGCCCAGGCTGGCCTCTATGGAGCAGAGACTGGTCTTGAACTCATAAGTGCTTTCTTCTATTTACTTATTTATTAAACTGTGTTCCCTCCCCTAGCCCTGTTCTGTATAAGTCAGGGTTCCACACCCTCGCCCACCCCTCTTCCTAAGACTCACTGTAATTGTGTGGTGTTTGTTCTACCTTTTATAGCTTCTGCTAAACCTGCTGCCCCCTGACATTCCTCAAAGTACCATCTTGTGGTCTCTGTGGCTCTGTAAACAATAGTTCTAGAGTTCTGAGTCCATGCCCTTCCTGCAGTTCCACTATGAGATCAATGGAAGGCTCTCCCGGGAGCAGGAGGCTCTACTCACCCAACCAGTGTCAGGCCTTTTCTCGGCCAGGGTTCGCACAAAGTCTGGGCCCTGTGGGAAGCAGATGGAGACATTAAGTCCATGGTGGCTCTTCCTCCTGTCTGCTTCCCACGGCACCACTGGCATCACTAGCCAGCAGGAGGCCTCTGGGGCCCTGGGACTTACTCGACCTGGATCCAAAAGCTGTTCTATCTGCCGATCCTTTCTGCTGTTCTCCTCTTCCAAGCGCCGAAGCTTTGTTCTCATCAGATCCACATCACTTTTCTGCATATGTAAGGACTGGAAAAGAAAAGGAGGGTGGGGCTAGCAAGACAGTTCAGCAGGTAAAGGGGCTTCCACCAAGCCTGATGACCTGAGTTCAATCCCCAGCATGGACATGCACACACACACACACACACACACACACACACACACACACACGCAGGCACACACACAATGGAAGGAGAGAAACATCTTCTCTAAGGTGTTCTCTTACCTTTATGAACACACAAAATAAATAAATGTAAAAACAAAACATAACCAGCTAACCAAAAACAAAGAAAAGGAGGGCCACATTCATATAAGGTCTCCATAGTACAGTGAATCCTGATTTGCCACACCCCCTCTTTTCTATAAAGTCTTATTCTGCAACCCAGGCCAGCCTAGATCTGGCAGCAATTCTCCTGCCTCAGTTTCCCAATTGCTGGGATCATAGCCATACTTGGCTGTGAAAACGTTTTTAAAGCCCTGGGTGTCATGGGGGCTGGAGAGATGGCTCAGAGGTTAAGAACACCGGCTGAAAAACATTGATAAAAATAATAAATCTTTGGGGCTGGAGAGATGGCTCAGAGGTTAAGAGCCCTGGATGCTCTTCCAGAGGTCCTGAGTTCAATTCCCAGCAACCACATGGTGGCTCACAACCATCTGTAATGAGATCTGGTGGCCTCTTCTGGCATGCAGGCATACATGAAGTGGTGTATACATAATAAATAAAATCTTTAAAAAAAATAAATCTTTTAAAAATTTTTTAAAAAGCTTGGAAGTGGTGGTATACGCTTTAATCCTAACACTCGGGGCAGAGGCAGGTAAATCTCTGAATTGGAGGCCAGCCCCGGTCTACAGAGCAATTTCCAGGATAGCCAGAGCTACACAGAGACCCTCCCCCAAATTCCCCAGTATCATGTAGTGGAACAATCTGGCAGCAAGGGGTGAAGGGGGTAATCCCAACACTTGTGGGTCCAGGAAAAACCAACACACCTGAGATCTTTCCCATTACAATGCCAATGGCAACCAGCTGACAAATACTTTTAAGCCTGTGAACCTTGGTCCTGAAAAGTCCCAAAGTCCTGTACCTTCTTCCGTCTGTCACATTACATAACACAGTCTGATACTCCTTACCAATACTAGCCACAGGGCTGGAGAGATGACTTAGCAGTTAAGAGCACATGCAGCTCTTGCAGAGGACCTGAGTTGGGTTCCCAGTACTCTCAGTGGGTTAGTCAAAAATTGCCTATTACTCCCACTCTAGTGGATTCAATGCCCTCTTCTGGACTTCACGGGCACCTGTACCTACATGCACACATACACACACACACACACACACACACACACACACAGAGCATTAAAAAGAATAATAATAATGAAGGAATACTAGCTCTCAGCTATGTCTGAGAAGAGATGCTCCCAACATCCCCCTATGAATGCATTTTCTTACCAAGCTTTGACAGGCCAAGGGGAAACAGATCCTGTAATTAACTCTTAACTATATTTTATTGTTTGCAGTTCTGAGATTGAACTTAGGGCCTTGAGTGTACTCAGCTGGCACTCTACTGTTAAGCCACACCCACAAACCCTTCACTGATATACTCTAAGCAACCACCCTACCACTGCGCCACACTCCAGTCCCTCACTGGGGGATTCTAGGCAGGTGCTCTACCACTGAGCCACACCCTGAGGTACTTATTATGGGATTGATTCTACACAGCATTCTGATGTTCCATGATGGAACACTGTGTCATGTACATTCTAGAAAGTACTCTACTACTATGTTTCCAACTCCCTTCAGCAGAGCTCCAAAAACTTACAACAATGAGTTTGAATAGTCAGTCATTTCCCCAAAGGTCTATTTCTACCCAAAACCATGGTTCCCACTATTACAAGGTACCACTTGTAACAATCATTTATTGTTGGGGGCTCTCCACATCTACTTAGTAGTCTCCCAGGCAGAGCGGAAACCTCTCTACACTGCCTGCAGTGTTAGCCCAGCCACAGTTGGGAATGTCCACAGAAGAGGGTGCAAGTCCTTTTCAGGGGTTCTTTTGCTGCTGCACAGCTGGCATGCTTGCACTTTGGAGACAGGGTCTCATGGATCCCTGGCTATCCTTGAATTCACTATGTTGCTCAGTTGGCTTTGAAAACCTTATTCTCCTGACTCCTTAGTGCTGGGATGACTGACCTGCACCAGCATGCCTGGTAAGTCCACTACCTCTTCTGCAGTTGGTGGACAGGGCTTCTCCTCAGCTAGGATTGCCAGCTCCTATGGCATGGTTCAAGCCTTAGTATGACACTGACTTTCAGTCAGTTAGAGAAAGGCTATCACTGCCAATCAGAAAGGAGCAGAATAGACCCTACCTTCTTCAACTCGATGATCTCGTCATACATGTCCTCTTTCTCTCTGTAGACAGAATTTCCAGAGACGTGACCTGGAGGAATACACACACACCTCTTAGGATATCGTGGGATAGTAGAGAGGACTCCTGGTTATGCCTGAAGGGAAACCTGAAAGTTAATAAAGCTATACTTGTTTGCTGAGATAGAGGAGTCTCAGATTATCTGGAATTCAAGATGCTCCTGCCTCAACCTTCTCAGTGATGGGGAGATAAGAGTAGCCACCAGCCTGGCTGACTGAGGGTGTGAGCACCTGTGTGTATGTATACATGTGTATGTGTGTGTGTACACCTATGTGTGTTGTGAGCCTGTGTTCATGCAGAGGGAGAAGAGGACATTGGGAGTCCTGCTCTATGACTCTTTGCCTTATTCCCTCACTGCTCTGGTTCCAGGCTGGTAGGCAGCAAGCCCTGGTGTCTTCCTGTCTCTGCCCATTACAGTGCTGGGTTACTGGGATCACACCTGGCTTTTTGCATGGGTGCTGATATTTGAAGTCAGGGCCCTGTTTGCATAGCAAATGCTCTTACCCACTGAGCCATCTCTCCACTTATGGAGGCTTTAATGACACTTAACTGGTTATAAATCCAAAATATCCAAATAAGCCTAAACTGTAACCCTAATCAGTAGACTTGGTTCAGAAGGACATGCAGCCAGCAGTCACCACACTGGAGAGTTACTCCTCTTTTCTAAGGCCCAGAGAGACCAACAAGCCCCATGGGCAGACTCTAGTAAGGAACAAACAAGGAACCAGCAAAGTGGCTTGGCAGGTAACAGCACTTGCTCCTAAGCCTGAAGACCAGACTTCCATCCCAAGGTTCCCCATGGTAGCAGGAGGGAAATGACATCACAAATTGTCCTCTGACCTCCATGTGCATGCCACAGCACAGACACAGCCCACTTGTACATAAGGAATTTAAATGTAACTCTATTTAAGGAGGGTGACATGATGGCTTGGCTATGAGACTCTTCTTGAATCACTGTGCCTCAGAACATTCTAGAAGTCCTTCAGATGGAGACCATGCAAAAAGAAAAAAAAATCTCACCCCTCAATTGCTAGAGGCTTTCTGCTCTCCTGGCCTTGTCCCCGGGAGCATGCTCACCATGGCTGCCAGAATGCCTGAGGTCTGCCCTCTTCGCTCTCATGGCTTCTGTCAGGTGATCAGGAGTGCAGCTGGGGGGGTGGGTCCACACGTGCTCCGAGGTAAGCGTGCATGAATGTGCATGGGTTTAACAGGACAGGTACAAGCACAGTCGGGGAATCTCCGGGGGTGGAGGATGTCAGGAGATGGGGGTGCACTGGTGAATGCCTAACATGCAGCTCACGAAGATCAACCCAGGGAGCCTGCATCATTCCCCTGGTGTGAACATTCCCACTTCAGGCTTCCCGTTTGACAAAGAGCAGCTCACAGAAACCCTAACAGTTGTGTCCTACAAGCTGGTAGAAACTGGCTCCATCACACCTCTACCACAGGGCAGCGCTGAGACAACCTTGATCAAAAGGGACTAGAACATGCCCACCAGTGACATGTTCAATGTCTTTGAGAAGATCAAAGACAAGCTCACTGAAAAATCATGCCTCATACCCGCTATCTCAAATCACAGTCGAGTCCCCACTTTGTCTCAAGCCAGAGCGCCGTCCACAGGAGTCACTCACCGTGCTTCGAGGTTCCCAGCCACAGCTTCTGTGGGGTCAAGGACATTCTGTTGCTCAGAGGCATGCTCCCTGCTGTCTTCAAAGACCGCCAGGATGTCACTTTTTTGGGCTTGGAGTAATAAGGTGACTCTGAGGAGGTAACATGCAGTTTAGATCTGTGGCACTGCTGTGCCTCAGACACCTTCGCTTTACAAAGACAAAAACTGGTCAAACACGACATGCAAAGGGTACTCCAGGAGGAACACGTGCTGGCAAACACGAAGAAGCATGATAGCTTACTGACTGACTTATTGTGAGGTGAGGTCTTATGTATTGATAGGCCAGGCTAGAAACCCTGGGTTCGAGACCCTCTTTTTTTTTTTTTGAAGATTTTATTATTTTAAATTGTGTGTAGGTGTGTGTCTCTGTGTGTGTGAGTACAAACAGGCACAGTAACAGAGGCATTAGATCCTCTGGAGCTGGAGTTACAGATGGTTGTGAGTGTGCACTGGGAACCAAACATAGGTCCTCTGGAAGAGCAAAAAGTACCATTAACCACTGAGCCATCCATCCAGCCCCTCCTCCAACCATACCAGAAAAGCAACATCCTTCACTTTCTTCAGGACACAGGCAAAAGGTCATTCTTGCCACACTGCAGAGTCACGTGGGGATGAAGGGACAGCAGGTCTATCTGGTCATACTTACTTGGTGATGTGGAAGGAGGTTTGTGGAAACCTTTCCTTTTCGTTTTCTGAAAGAGAAGAAGCAACATGAAGCACACTGGGCTGGTACTGTTGGAAAACTACACCATGCTCAGTGGGGAATGAGTGAGTCGGGCCCTGATGGGGACCCTGGCCAGGGCTGACCTCTTGGAGGTTCAAGAGACTCCATGCATGGGAGATCCAGGGCTGGGGTTGGGAGTCAAAAAGGCTCTCTCTGAGCGTGGTGGCATAAGTCTTTAATCTCAGTACTTAGGAAGCAGAGGCAAATGGATCTCTGCGTTCAAGGTCAGGCTGATCTATGGAGTGAATCCCAGGACAGTCAGGAATACACAGAGAAATCTTGCCTTGAAAAACTAGAAAAAGGAATGGTCTCTCTCCTCTACTGTCCTTGTGCCTGCTCTGCATGCTGGTTAAGTACCTGTGTGCCCACAGCAGGTGTAGAAAGATGAATCCCTTGTAAATAAGTCCATGGCAGATCCCCATTTAGGAAGGGAAACCCAGCAAGGAAGAGGATGCTGTGTGGAAAACAGTTTCCATGGCAAACAGATACCCATGTAGTCTGGTGGGAACAAGGTTCTGCTGTTTCTAGAGCTGGGCCATGGAGAGGGACCTGCCCTCCTAAGTAGCATTCAGTCTGGGTGTAAGGGTACAGGATGTGGTGTGACCTTGCTCCCCCTCTGGTGAAAACACTGTCCCTCTATGCCCCAGAGAGACTTGGACTCTGCTTGGGGCTTGTCAGGTGGTTCCTTCCACAGCCTGTGGCATCAGGATCGCCTCTGTGTTAAGCATCTTGGGCTCATAATTCTATGATATAGAGGAGAGCTCCTGGCTGTGGACACACGTTATATAACAATTTCATCTCAGATTGAAAGATTCCATCCCACAGGATGTTCCTTAGCACAAAGGTAAACAACTCAAAACAGCTCCAGGAAGTCCCTGAAACTGACCAGATTCACTAGGCTCCTCCCTGCCAAAGCTGAGAGTCATTCTCAAACAAGGCAAGCCACTAAGAACTCTTAGACTCTTGAGACCAGACCAGCTGCTGCTTGGGAGAAGGCTTAAGCAGAGTCACTTGGAAAAGACAGTCTCCAACCTGTTGAGCTTCCTGCTGTTCAGTGTGCTCCATGTTCCCAGCTTTGTGAGCTGTCACCCATGCTGGGCCTTAGTAATGCAGCTGTCTTTGTAATTTTTGTTCGGATCAAGTAACCTCTCACTTTGGTCTGTTGTGAAATCTATCTGGCGTGAGTAGATGTGTGTGTTGGATCTCCCAAGGAAAGGTTTTGTTACACAAAACCTCCTTGAGGACAATCGGCTTGTGAGGCTTCTAAATGCAGTTGAGGCTTCTTGTGTTGGGTCCCTTCAGAGCTCATGTATAGCTGGGATCAGGTCTACATTCAGCGTAACTTCATTGGCTTGTCCCTAAGTGAGCAATTAGCATGATGCCTTTGCTACTCAGTGCAATTTACAAAGAATCCAAGAGGCTAGCCAATTCCCAGGGTCACTGGAAGTGTAGTTCCACTGTAGAGTGTCTACCTAGACTCCTCCAGTGAGGGGCTGGGGTGTGACTCAGTGGTAGAGTACCTGCCTAGAATCCCCCAGTGAGGCTCTGGGGTGTGGCTCAGTGATAGAACACTTGCCTGGAATCCCCTAGTGAGGGGCTGGGGTGTGGCTCAGTGGTAGATTGTGTACCCAGTGGTAGAATTCCCCAGTTATGGATAGGGCATGGCTCTACAGTGTATCTGACTACCTCTGCCTGTTTTCTTGACTAGCTCCTAGCACTCTGGGGATCCAGTGTGAGATGCCATGTGGGTATGGGGAATTGTATCTGTACACTCTGCAAGAGCACCAAGTGCTTTTCATCACAATTTCTAAAACTAGCTTTAAAATGATAACTTCAGTTTTTATTATTATTATGTTGTTGCTGCCGCTATTGTTTGAGGCAGGGTCTTAAGTAGTCCAGGCCAGATGACATTAAACCACCCCCCATCACCTCCCACTGCTTCATGCCTACTAGGTAAGCTCTCTACCACTGAGCTACATCCTATCCCTTAAGATTAATATCTAGGGCTGGAGAGATGGCTCAGAAGTTAAGAAGAGCACTGGCTGCTCTTCCAGAGGTTCTGAGTTCAATTCCCAGCAACCACATGGTGGCTCACAACCATCTGTAATGAGATCTGGTGCCCTCTTCTGTTGTGCAGGCATAATAAATAAATACATCTTAAAAAATTTATAAAAAAGTGATTTCTACAAAATAAAAAGCTTAAAAGTGATAATCTCAGTTATTTAAATTCAACTACCAGACCAAAACTTCTACACGAGAAGCAGCTCTGGGTATCAGTCAGTGCTCTGGGTCTACCAGCATCTGGGGAGACTTTTACACACACATCCAAGGAGCAACTCATATGGAGATAGTCATCCCAACCTGTACTCACCGTCTCAAAGTCGGAATCAAAGGTAATTGCAGACAGACTGTCATCTCCCTGGAAGAAATGCAAACAGGGTCACTAGAAGGCACCCGCTCAGGTTCACCAGTCCCATTTGTACGCTGCCTGTCTGAGCTGCCACAGCAGAGCACATCCCATAGGACAGCATGGGAAGCCGGGGGCATGTCCATCCTGAAGCAGCCAGTGTACTCCGATAGTCAGAAAGGAGGGGTGGGAGCAAGGGGACACCTCAGTTGTAAAAGTATGTGCTGAATTCAATCCAGTGCTGGGGGTAGATCTCTGGGGCTCAATGGTCAGTTAGCCCAGCCTACTTAGAGCATTTGAGGCCCTCAAAAAAGGAGTGTGTGTGGATAATGTCTGAGGAATGTCATTCCTCGGGCCTCCATTCCTGAGCACACATAGGAAGAGGAGGGAGTGGGGGTGTGTGTGTGAAATAAAGGTTGTCTGGCTGAGTGACTCTATATCCACTGAGGTATGGTGGGCCCTCAGGACTACTGTGTGCCCTTGAGAGCATTCTCTGCTCAAGAGAAGCATTCCTCTCCTCACTGCTCTCCCTCTCTCATCTCCCACTTAAAGGATAGTGACTTCCTCTGCCCATGTCCCGGCAGAGCAGATCAGTGATGCATACATATGTTTTCATTTTGTGTCTCCTGTTTAAAGGTATTTAAACTTTCTTTCTCTCCGTGTGTGTGTGTGTGTGTGTGTGTGTGTGTGTGTGTGTGTGTGTGTGTGTGCCTGTGGATTCCAAAAGAGGGTGCTAGGGTGGACTTACAGACAACTGGGAACTGTCTGATAATGGATGCTGGGAACTGAACCCCAGTACTTTGAAAGGGCAACAACTACTCTTAACTGCTGAGCTATCTCTCCAGTCCCCACCCCCCACTATACTTTTCTATTTGTTGTATGTATGTATGTATGTATCTGGTGTGCTCATCTGTGCATGTGTTTTCATGTTTGTGTGCTTGGGGAGGTCCGAAACAGACAGTTTCTTCCTTCACTCCTTTTCACTTTGACTTTGGCTGTCTTGCTGAACCCAGAGCTCGACAATTGTGGCACATCTAGCTAGCCAGCTTGCCCAGGGGATCCTGTCTCAACTTCCTGAACATCAGGATTATAGGCAGCAGCTGTACCCATGGAGATCTGAACTCCAGTCCTAGTGCAGGCAAGCATTTTATCCCAGGAGCCTTCTCCCCAGTCCTTGGTTACATTTTGGAAAACAATCCCCGAGTGGTGCCAGTCAGGATCTGGGAAGCTGAGGCAGAAGGATGCTGAATTTGAGGTCAGCCTGAGATACATAGAAAGTCACACCATTTTTTAAAAATATGGAAAAGTGCTAGCAACAACGTTAATGGTAAGAGTTACAGAACAACAGATATATGTTTTAAGCTAAGGGGAAAATGCAAATGAAAAATACAACAAATATTAATTGGCCAGGTTATGGATAACTTTCCCAAAGGCACTGAAATTATAAGGCATTATCTTTGCCTGGGCTAGGGATCTGACTCAGCAGTGAAGTGCTTGCCTAGAATTCCCCAGTGACCCTGTTGGGGAGGCTCATCTGTAGTGCTCTGGCCTGGCATGAGTAGTTCTGTCTTCAGTAGCACACACAAAGCAAACAGCCATCGACCTCCCAAACTAGGTAGGACCTGGGAAGTCTCCTCTGCAGGGAGTAGGAAATCCTAGTTGCTCTCGGCTGACCAGAAGCACAGCCCCCCAGTTCATGTGGAACTTCCCAAGGGTGTTCCTTGGATCCTTGACAAGTCATTCTGCCCATGGCCAGTTTCCTGCCTACTATCTTCAGTCCCCTTCTCAGTATGGTCCCAGAGGGCTTGCTTTCTGCTCCTTGGACGTGGCACTTTCCCTCCTCGTAGCTTTTGCATTTATTGTTCTCGCTGGCCCTAAACCTGTACCAAAGTCTTTCTGCTTGTCTTTGAGATTAGGAACATCGGCCCATTGCCTTATCCTATAGCCCCCACTGGAATGCACAAAGTTCACTTGGTACCGGCACGCACAGAGGGCCAGAGGGTCCACCCCGCAGCGGGAGACCGAGGGCGACACGTTTCTTCTAGAGATGCCTGAGCAGGGTTGGCCATGGGGGTGGAGGCCTTCTCCGTTGCGTGGGATCGCTCTGAGGAGTCACTGGAGTGCAGCCTGCAGCAACACTTACGAGGTGAGCTCGTCACCAGTCTGCCACAGCCTCAGACCCGTAGCGCGTGCGGGAGGGCGCAATCCTGGGGGCTTCTTGGAAGCAATGGCCTCCGCGAGCGCGGGCCAGAGCAGCTGGGGCGCGGGCACGGTGGCGGCCGACGCCCCGGGCTGGCTCTTGTGCGGTAACAATCGGCCTGCGGGAGCTGGCTGCCGCCGTGCGCCTACCCTCCAGCTGCCCGGGATCTCCTTACCGTCTCCGAGGCTAGATCCGCGGTGCCCTGACTCATAGTGGCGGCGCTGCGCGGCCTCCTGGGCGATGCGAGATCGGCCCTTAGCGTGGGAGGCCTGCCAGCAGCCCCGCTGCCATGGCAACCGTGCCGCGGCCACAGGGCCCCGGATGTGGACATTCCTCTGGTGCTAGGCAAACCGTGCGTGCGCGCGCAGAGTGAGCGCGGGGCCGACCATGCACTCTTCCGGGGTTGTACTGCGCAACCGCACCTTGTCTCTAGTGGGTTTTCCTGCATGCAAGGACGGCTCTCTGTCTCGGAGCCACGCTCTCAGCTGCAATTTCAGGAGCTCGAGTTGGGTTTCAGTAGACAGTGGCTGCAACTGTGTAGTCCAGTGGGCAGGAGTTCCGAGGGTTGTCATGCTGAGTAGACACAGGCATCGTCGTTAGCGACAGGCACCTATTTAAATGTTTATTTTCCTCTAAATAATCAGATGTTGGGACGAAAGTGACTCCCTAATTGTTAGACCGGGGCCTGGTGCCTTATGGAAAGGACAGTCCACACCAGGACTACCCATTGGTCTGCTCCAACTGCTTTTTATCTTCACAAGCCTCCCGCCTCTCCGGGAGGACCCAGCGGCTTTTCCCACCCAGGCCAGCTGGGGAACACTTCACTGGTGCAAACACAGTATCTCATTTGCTCGGGATCACCCTGTCTCTGCCTCCTCAGTGCTGGGATTACAAGTATATACCACCATGCCTGGCTTTTTCTTTTTTTGAACTTCCACCCCACCCTATCGGCCTGGCGACTGACAGACTCGGGATCTTAGGCGAGCGAAGCATGCACTTAATTAGCCTAACTATTCCCCTGCCCCGCATTCAGTTTCTGAGTAAACAGCTCTCCTCAGCTGGGTGATATTGCAATATTAACCTCAAGACAAGGTTTGAGTGGCTTTTTCTCTTACCTACTTGAAGAATTCTTTTTTAGCCCCAAACTTACATCTGTGCTGAGCTTAAAGGCAGAAGCTTCCACACCCTGCCCTGTGAGGTATTTTTATTTGTTTGTGAGTGTATGCCAACTATATGTGGGTGACCTCGGGGCTGCGGTCCGAACTCTGATCGTCTGTTAGAATAGGAGGTACTCTTAACCACTGAACCATCTCTCTAGGCCTACTTTTTATCTTTATCATTGGCAGAGTGGGATGAAGCCGTGAAGAGCCACAGTGGAGGGTCTGGTCCCCGGAGTTTAGCGCTAGCCGCTGTAGAAGCCGAGGGTTTCAGTACCAGAGGTCTTGGCGCACCAATTGCCCGCCTGCGATGTTCACCGCAGCAAGCAACAAGAGCTGTAAGAGCTAGTAAAAGTCAGGGACCATAGATGCCTAGACACGTGGCCTGAGGGCAGCGAGGCTCCGCCTTCCCGTGAATAACCACGCCCACACAGAGCCCATCTTGGAGACGCTCCGCCCACTGCCTGCGTGGGCCTGCACCTCTTAGCGTCGGGGATGGTTGGTGGTTCCGAGTGAGTGTGGAAAGCCCAAGCTGTACCCAGCTGGAGTGCATTTACAGGGTTTTGAGCTTTAGAGGTGATCGGAGTGGCAGTCAGGGTCATCACCGGGCTCCAAGCGCACCGTCCCGCCCTTTCTCGTCTCTGCCTGTCACGTGGTAGTATCTTAAGGCGGGGCCTGTAGAGTCATGGGCTCAAGCAGAGGAGGGCGGAATCAGCAGCGCTGAGGGGCGGAGCCTGTAACCACGTGAAAAGAAACTTGCGTCGGGGGCGGGGCCTCGACTGCGTGCTGAAATCTCGGGCGGGGTGGGACTTGAAGAGGGCGGGGTGGAGCCAACTCCCGCTGTGGGGCGGGACCTGTGATGGTGTGGGGCGGGGCCTGCGGCTGCGTGTAACGAACTCTGAGGGGGGGCAGGACCTGGGGAGGGCGGGGCCTGAGCCGGCGTGGAGCGGAATTTGCGGAGGCGCGGGCGGGGCCTGCTGCAGACACCGGAACCTCAGTGGGTAAGGAGCGCGCAGACCCGGGGTCGAAATCCTGGTAAGCCAGAGTTCGAACTCCAACCGGGCACTTGGGGCCTCGTGCATTCTATACCCTAGGGTCTAGTTCCGTAGTGGAGGGACGCGGGGGCGGGATTCGAACCCCAGGTAATTCGATATCGCGGAGAGCGCACCTCTTACCCGGATTTGCGAAGTACGGATGACGAATGTCGGGGTTGAGACGGACCCTGCTGGGCCTGCAGATACCGATATCATTGCCGTCCAAGATGCGTCTTTGTGTTCTGAGTAAACACCTACCGATGCAGGCCGCAGGGTTGTCACTTGCAGCCTCTACCGACTTGGGCTGCGAAACACACCTTCCTTTGCACTCCTGGGTCTCAAGCAAGTTTCTCTTGACCGTTGGAAACAGTGTCTGGGATCAGGTGCCTGGATGGACTGTCCCCTCACACTTGGCTGACCCCCTGACTGTTCTCTTCACAGCTAGGTCAATAGGTAGTTGCACCTCCACCCACGCACCAAACCCCTAAATTGACACCAAAGGCCTTGTGGCTCTGATTAACATTTCCTCACTCACTGACAGTGCACCTGCCAGGACTCGATCCTCTTGATTGCCCAGGTTCCCCTGGACGAGCTTAGCATCTTTGTGGGCTCAGAGTTCTGGTACACATGAAGTGTCCCGGGCCTCCACCCCCCCCCCCCAATCATAGCAGGCATCGAAGGCTGCCTTTGACTAGGGTGGCTGTGTCTGAAGCCAGATATGATCACGGCTGATCCATTGCTTCCTCTGTAGGAACCGCTGTCCTGATCATGGACCCAGAATGCGCCAGGCTCCTCCCAGCTCTCTGTGCTGTTCTGGCAGATCCCAGGCAGCTGGTGGCAGATGACACCTGCTTAGAGAAACTGCTGGATTGGTTTAAAACAGTGATGGAGACAGGTAAGGACATGGCGATGTAGAACTGTCCATCCACCCAGTGTCTTTGTTTCACCTTCTTAAGGCTCTCTTAATGGAGAGTCACGATGGGGTGCAAGGGTGGTGAACGAAAGTCCCGTGGGAGTCCATCCACATTTCAGGTTTCCTGCTGTTCAGTTCACGTTAGGTGTTTGCGGAGAGCATGCCCACATTGTTTAGCCATCTTTGTTGTATTTTGCTTATTTTGAAGAACTTAGATCTCTGGGTGGATGTGGTGGGACATGTCATCCAGAAGTCAAGGCAGGTGGACCTCAACTTCAAGGTCAGCCAGTGCTACATAGTGAGTTCAAGGCCAGTCTGAGTTAAATTTTTGCTGTGTGGGTGGATCTTAATTTATTTAATCACTTGCATTGTTTGTGTTCCCGATTTTTTGTTATTATACATAGTGCTGTATCCTCTTGCGTGAGTACCCAGGCAACTGGAAGTTTTACCTCCCATGGTTGATCATTGTCTTCTGCCAGGTTCTGCGATCCTTGTCTTGTCGCCAATACCTACCTTCTTTGCTTCCTTGGTGTGCTAGTCTTCTTTTCTTTTGAGACATGATCTAATGTAGCCTCGGCTGTCCTCAAATTCACTCTGTAGCCAAGGATGACCTGGAACCTCTGGTCCTCCTGTCTGTGGCTGAGAGCTGGGATCATAGGTGTGAAACACTCCTTGTTTTTATTGGATGCTGAGGATGGAGCCAGGGCTTCCTGCATGGCAGGTGATCACTTTACCAATGGAGTTACATCCCCAGCCCTTATCTTTTTTCCATGTGTGTTTTGTCTTGCCTGTTTTCTTTTGTTTGTTTGTTTTGAGACAGGATTTCTCTGTGTAACAGTCCTGACTGTCCTGGAACTTACTTTGCAGACCAGACTGGCCTCAAACTCACAGAGATCCACCTGCCTCTGCCTCTCAAGTGCTGGAATTAAAGGTGCTGATGTGTGATATGTGTGTGTTTGCATATGTATAACATACACATATTGAGGCAGGGTCTCCTTTTCTCTTTCACTTGAACCCAGAGTTTGCCAGTTTGGTTGTTCTAACAGGACAGCTGAGGGTCTTCTATCTGTGTCTCTGGAGTGCTGCCTGCCCAGCATTTATATTGGTTCTGGGAATCTGAACTCTGGTCTTGCACAGAAAGCTTTACCTACTGAACCATTCCCCAGACCTTGAAGCCTACTTTTTAATCAAGTTTTTGCAAATGATTTTACAGGATTTTGTGTGTGTGTGTGTGTTTTGCATACATACCCAGGTATCTACATACAAAGGTACGAGCAGGATATTAGGCATCTTCTACCATCACTCTCCACCTATTGCCTTGAGATAAAGTCTGTTACTGAACCTGAAGTTGCAGAAAACTAGGCTGACTGGCCAGGAAGTTCTTGGTATCAGCCTGTCTCTACCCCTCCTCCAACTCTAGAATTAGAGGCATGCAGAGACATGCCTGGCCTTTTATGTGAGTGCTGGGAATTCAAACTCAGGTCCTCATGCTTGTAGTGCCTGCCTTATCCACAGAACCATCTCCCTAGCCCCTTTCACAAGTTTGGTTTGTTGTTTCTTTGGAGGCAGAGTCCAGCTGTGTAGTCCAGGCCACCATGCAGACCAAGTTGGCTTTGAACTGAGAGGTCTTCCTGCCTCTGCCGCCCAAGTGTCATGTTTAAAGGTGTGTGCCACCACATCTGACCTGCAGTTATCTTTAAACAGCTTTATTGAGATATGGTTTACATGACATAGAGTCCGCCTGTTCAACTGGGCATGGTGACTCACATCTGTAATCCCAACATTTGGGAGGCTGAGGCAGGAGTGTTGCAAGTTTGAGGTCAGTCTGGGTTCCGTAGTGAGTTCAGAGCCAGCTTGAGCTACAGAAGGACACCCTATCTAGAAATTGCATATAAAATGAAACACATAATTGGAAATGAAGTGTACGGGTTTAGTGGGTTTTAGTCAACTTAGGGGTGTGTAGTCTCATTTTGTAACTTTTTGTCCTCCCCCCCCAATAGCTAGGTGTCTTTGGTAGGCAGCTCTTCCTCCCACCTCACCCTCAATTTCCCTCAGTTTCTAAAGTGTCCCACATGATGGAGCTGTGCCTGTTGGTGCAGGCCTGTTAGTCCCCCTACCTGGGGCTGAGACAGGAGGATTATGAGAGTATGGTCTGGGCTGCACAGTGAGGATTATGAGAATATGGTCTGGGCTGCACAGTGAGTTCAAGGCAACTTAGGA